AAAGTAGCTGAGGAGAAAGGGCCCCTTTCTCACCTTTCGTTTACCTTTGATCTGGCTGAACTTAGCTGTCCTTAACTTCTAGTTTGCTAAAGTCCTTATTGCCTTAATGACCATCTACCAAACAGTCAGAACCAGGCGAGAAGTCCCTCCCATGGTATACGTTGGAAGCCTGCCTGTCTCCCCGAAGCTGCTGTGCCTGAAAGGCAACCACACTCCCTCTCCAAAGCCCAGGACCCCCCTCTCACTAACAGAGCAGTGTTCCCAGGCTGAGGACAAACCCAGGACTGCTCAGGCTGAGAGATCCCCAATGCCCATGATAGCTATGACCAACCCTACTCCGTTCTTTGGCCTCCACTGCTTGAGAACTGGACTCCTCCCCGCCCTCCGCCTCCATCTCTCACCCAGAGACCCTTCACCCCATCATGCTCAGTGCTGTTCCTGAAGACCATCTAGACTTTTCTGTTTTCTGGAACATTCTACTCACCTTCAGCTGCAGCATCCCCCTTCAGCCTCTCCACCAAGCTCTTTAAGTGAAAGGCAGCGGCTGTCTTCCCTTGGACAATAATGAATGTATCTACTGTAAGTGCAGACCATGTAGAGAAGTGGCTGGGTTCAGAAAAAAAAAAGAGGATTTTTGTAAAGCCTGTTTATTTTTTTAAGTCAGTTTTGAGCATTTCTATTTTATCACCCTTCACGTGGTTTTGGGGAACCCAAATTGTATCAAGGTCTCATGCCAAAACAAGCCAACAGTTGTTTTCTTTACCTTTTTCCTCCGTGCACCATGATTTCAGAGATTGTTTTGGTGTCATTTTAAATGTTTTCTTGTGACATGTACTGATGATAAAAGTCATCTTGACAAAAAAAGATTTATACATGAATCAGAAGTATTTATTTCAATTTTGTACCTTTCCATTTTAATACATTATAATGTATTGACTCAACTGAGATAATATAAACAGTTCATTTTAATAACACGTGTGTGTGTTTTCCTTTATATATAGTTGGGGTGGGATAAACACTCCTGGAGTGAAAATAGTGAGTGTTAACTGACCTCAGTGTGAGCAGGGGGAGACCTCCCCTGCACCAGAGGCTTCTAGACTGGAAGTTGGAAGTAGCTGGTGCCTTTGGGGGAGGAAAAGATGGTGACGCAAGGAAAGGAAGTGTGGAGGTAAGTGGTGGCCTGCTGGACAATGCTGACCCCTCCAGTGCTATACATTACATTGATCTCCCCACTAGCAAGGCAGGCCAAAGACCACACTGGCCCTTGCACCCTGGCCCCTGGATGTGGTCTTGGATGGAAGGCTTCAAGAGGGGCTGTGCAGAGGAGAAACACAAAAAGGGATATAATCATATTCCATGTCTGAGTCTTTTGCTGGAAGGTGGGCAAAGGTGGGAAGAGCAAGCACGGAGACAAGGCAGCAGGGAAGGAGGAGAGATGTGGAACTGCATCCAAGGGCTGCAATAGTTGGTAAAGCATGTGCAGCAAACAGGAGGTGGCACCAGGAATTATGGACATAATTCTCTACTTTCAAGGGAGACAGAGAGAGGGTCCAAAAGAGTACTTTGATCAGATGGATCCAGAATGCTGAGAGATACACAAGTCTCAACAGTTGGTCCACATCCTTGATACCTTGTTTTCTCAGGTCTCCACAACTTTCTACAAAATAACCTTTATTTTTATTATTTTTAATTATGTATATGTTTGGGTAGGTGAACTTGAGTACAGGTGCTTACAGAAGTCAGGAAAGGGCTTTGGAGCTGGAGAAACAGGCAATTGTGAGCTGCTTTACATTAGTCTTGGGAATTGAACACGGGTCCTCTAACAGGAGCAAGAGTTGTTCTTAACTACTGAGCCAGCTCCAGCCCTATCCCTTTATCTTTCTATGTTCCCCTTCCCACACACCCCATCGGTCTTTTCCAGGAGAATCACCGGAAGAGGAAGCCTGCCTTTGCTTTTAAATCTCCCCCCCCCCCATCTCCAGTCTTTTCTTCTAAGAACATATGACCCTGGTCCAGGAGCTGATGACCAGATTGTTTCAAGGTTCAAGCCAGCATTTTAGAAATTAATCAGTTGCCAATAACATAAAATAATATCAGTCCTTTCAAAGAGCCAATTTGAAGACATGTGTACCAGGAAAATCTTAAGAATTCCCTCTGATACTCTCATCCCTAAATGGCTTTCCTAAAATTCTTCTGAACGATGGCAATTTTTGGCTTACAGCTGTTTAAAGAGGGGCTGGGTTACGTAGGAAGCCTGTACTGATGTTCTTAAACTAAAATTCCTCCTATAAGTGTGAATGTATTCACCTTCCTAAATATTTGCATCCCAGGAATGATAAGAGACCCTTTCCTGGGTCGTTGCTCTTTGGAAGTAAGGGTCTGGAATGTAAGATTATTACTCTGTGCCAGTGTGTAATTTTGCCTGTCTTAGTCCATTTGAGCTGCTGTAACAAAACACTGAAACTGGCTCAGAGATAACAGAAATGCATCCCTCAATGTTCTGGAGGCTGAGTCCAGGGTCCAGTGGTTACCAAATCTGGCTTTTGTGAGGGCTGCTTCCTGATTCCCAGATGCTGTCATGTTGCTGCTTTCTCAGAGTCTGTGAGAGAGGAGGAAACCTGGATTCTCTCTCCTAAAGGCACCGGTCCTGTCCCAAGGCTCCCTCTTTGTGATCATATTAACCCCCAGAGGCCCCACGTACTCACGCCATCTCCTTGGGGATGAAGGTGTAAGCATATGTGTTAATCTCATGATAGCACACGTCTGCTTTTCTCTTTGACACTTAAGAGAAAAATAAGCTTCCTTGTCTCTGGCAGTTGGGGCTGTGGGAGGGACTGCTGCCAGCAATCCCTGCAGCTACCTGGGTGAACTGTTGTCATCTGCCACCCCATCCCTAGCAGGTCTCAGAGCTTTATCAGCCCCTGGCCATTTTATGTAATAATGAGGCAAGTATAATCATACTTTTCTGATGGCAAAAAGGGAGAAATTGAGCTGTTCCTTTTTTTCCTGCCCTCCTCCCTTCATCCATCTTTCTTTCTCTGTTTTTGAAGTGTGCCATCTTTACTTTTTACCTCTGGGGTTTGAAAAATCACCTGGATTCAGGCGTTCCACCCAGCAAGGTCTTTCTTCCTGGGAACAGCACACTAAGGCTGGTTATAGGAAAGGATTTAGCAATCCCTTGCTCGGTCAAGTTCAGGCTACGTACGGATGAGCTCCGATCCCCATCAACTGACACTAATAATGAAGGAGGAATGACTGTGTGAGGCACAGATGAAGCATGTCAACATGCTCTCTTCCCGGAGAGTCAATCAGGATAGCAGAGGCCAGGCCTTTCACTCTTATAGCTACAGAACATGTTTACATAATGCACGCCGGACAATCTCAGGATCTTTTCTGCTTGCCCCTTATTTCCACGATGATTAATTTATTGGTTTACTTTTTTTTTTAATCACCAAGACTAGTTTTTGCTCTGGGCAAAATCATTATAGAAGCAAGTTCCCCACAGTGTCCGAATCAACTTGCTTAAGACTCCAGGCCTGCACTGATTACACGCTTTATTTTCTATGCTCTCCACACTTGTCCATCAGGTTCTTCATAATCAGGGGTAAGCGGACAATAGAAGTTTACGGTGCCCCCCAAAGATGTTTTCAAACAAAGAACAAAGGTTTCCAAAGGTAGCAGATGCTGTGATCCAAGACCACTCACTGGGAATGTCACGCACTGGCCAATCCTCCTTGTCCTGTAGAGAACCTCCAGAGAGGAGTGAGAGGCCACACAACAAAGCCTGTCTCCTCACTGTGTGTAAGGAAATGGTCCTGTGTGCCCTCCTGTTTGGAAGCCCTCCATTTGCCAGGTCTTGGGTTTGGTGATCCTGACTGGAAACCCTGGCAATGGGAAAGGAAGGATTCTGGACACGCCTGGGTGCTCTAAAGAGGTGGCTTGGTCAGACCCAGCCTCACAGTCACACGCCACATTGACTGCCTTTTCTTTCTTGTTTATAACCCACGGTCAAGCATATGGTCCTTCTTGACTGAGTGTCATCAACCTCCTCATCTCACAGGTAAGCAGAAGTGGGCAAAGCCATGCCCAGTTCTCAGGTCCTTCGACTCCCAGTTCTGAGCTCTTGCCCCACCGCAGCTACTAAACAACACCACTTCATTTCCCCAGCCCACTGCGTCCTAGAAGGGCTGCACTCACTGCGGTGGGGTCTACATGGGGCCTTGTTGGGTCTGATGAAAAGTGGACGTGACCTTCCCAAGAGGAGGAAATGAGAAAAAGGGCCCCTGGGAGGGACAGGGCCCTGGCCAGTGCTGAAGGCATGGCTACAACAAGTATGTGAGAAAAACTAAGGTCTAGATTGGAAGCTGAAGTCTTGACAAAGAAAGGGGCTCTGAAGGTCTCTCCCTATAGGGGAAAAACAGATAAACAGCATGGAGGGGTAGCTGAGGTCACACGTTTGGAGGTGAAAGGAACGCAAGGGGACGGGTACAGAATATGACAGGATGCATTCAGCAAATGCCAGGTGTGGCCGATTGAGCAACGGAGCTGGGAAAAGCCTTTGGGATTTAAGTCTGTCACAGCGAAGACCATGGAAGGGTTACCATTATTACTCCATCGTTGAGCACAAAAAAACATGGTGTTTCATTTGCCTTTGCCAGCTAGATGTCTGTTTCTGCCTTCGCTCCCTCCCTCCTCTCTTGGAATTCCCAATGGGCAGGGGTAGAGTGTGAGGAACATAGGCCACCCTCCACAGTGCCAATACCTTCCTCTTCAGCCGCTTCTCCAGCTCTTTAAAGGTCCCCATGGTAGAACCTGCGAACAGCTCTAAGGCTGCTTGCACACCCACTTTCAGAGTTAAACTGTGACGTGCCTGGGTCCCACGAGGTCTGGCCAAGCGCTGGAACGAATCCGCGTCTTTCAATCCTGCAAGGCGGCCCCGCCCCTCAGTTTCACGTGGTTGGTAGCGAGTCGCGCACAGCTGACGTCAGTAGTACGCGCCCCAGTGCAGCCTTCTACCCGGCGTGCGCGCCCAGGAGGCTTCTATCTCATCCTCTCTTCAGACTCCTCATAACCTCTGGGCTTCCGACCAGAGGCAGCGCTCGGCCAACTTGCGACAATGTCGATGCTGGCGGAGCGTGAGTGTCGGCCGAGCTGGGCAACCGAGTGATGGGTTGACGGGCACGGGCTACCAGGGTGACCGGGGCCCCGGGGTGTCTAAGTTCCGGGTGGGGACCGCAGTGACTGCCGGGCCCGCGCGGGACAGATGTCCCCGAGACTCTGTTCCTGGTACTAAAGGCTCGGGTCGCACGTTCACGTGTGCGTTCGGAGACTCAGGACACTAAGTTTCGGACTGTCTCGTGCGCTAGCCCTCGTGGTCACCTGGGAGGATTCTTTCATTTCTCTGGGCTCAAGTGACCTGGGGTTCCTAAAAGACGGGTCCCGTAGCATCGCTTTAGGCTCTGAAATTAAACTGTCCAAGATGTGTTGGTCCCAGAGAAGAAAAGTAGGATTACAAGTGTCAGGCACTGTTTAGCCCTTGGCGGGAGTGCAGGCTGGTGAACGTTTCTGAGCGAGACCGAGAGGGTTTCCGCGGTTAGAGGCGACTTGGCCTCTTTGTCTTTGACACTTAGCATCACTCTGAAGTCCACTAATTCTCCTCAGAGGCGACTTTCACTTTGAAATGATACGTGTAGCTACAGATTCTTGCCACCAGAAGGCAGTCGAGTGATGGTCGCTAAGAACTGGCTTTTGACTTTTCCTGGAAGTTGTGTAGCTATCAAGGAATGTAAACAGATACTTTCTTTTTTTAAAAAAAAATGTCATTATGGCACTTTAGAACAAAGCGTGTTTTAGTGAATCTTCTTCCCCATCTCTCACTACCCTACTGCCGCCTCTGATCCCCTACTGCCACTCCTGGCCCCACTCTCTTTTCATGTAGCATACTGCACTTCCTGCAGGCAGCCCAGTAGTTGGACTGGAGAGTGTCCTTTCTAGGTAGGTCAATCGATGCCACCCTCTTCCAGGCAGTTCATCTGGTCTCTACTTCCACGAAATTGGGCTAGTTTCTGCCTCAGCCAAGGCTTACAAATCTTAAGCGTGGTGACTACATCAATAGTTTGGAGTGTCGGCAGTGGGACACAGGGAAGGACAACTGACCTGGCAGCCAGTTCCTTAGGTAGCATGGCAATGCATCTTGTGTAAGTATGTAGCAGGGATGTATTTCTGATGGGAAGGGAAGGAACCTTACAAGCCTTGGTCAGTGACCCCTGGCAGGCATTCTCCAGACATGGATCGGGCACAGACATGCAGAACACCAGCTTACTGTGTTCATTCATGAGATAGTGTTGTGCTGAGTATATACTAGTTTTTTTTTTTTTTTAACTAAGTGGAACAAGTTTTTGGATCACCCTTTTTCCCCAAGGCATAACTCTGCGCATTGGCTTGTGGTGTTTGTTTGTTTGTTTTCCTGCCTGCATGCTTGGGAATGGTTTCTTGTTTGCTGGGTGATGTATAGGTAAGGATCCCTATTGGTTTTACCTGCAACACGGTGAGCCCTTTGACTAGAGGTCATGTCATTTTCAGTTGGGTTATGAGGCCGTTGATGATGATATGCTTGCATGCATGCAGTGGGCAAGCAGGAATGACATTCAACCTCCAGATTCCTTACCTGGCCACAGGTGACTTTGGGGGTTCAGATTCTTGTTCTGTTTGCCTGGTGGGTTCTTTTTCTGTTGTAGTTTTTCCTCAAAATTGTCACAGTGAAGCCAAACGTGGCTCCTGCTTGTGATTCCCCAGCATTTGTGGAGCTAAGACTAGAGGATTGCCGCCAGAGCTAGGCTGTCTCAGACAAACAAACAATACAACTTGAGTTCTTTTTTTTAAAAAGATTTATTAAGATTTTTTTAAGATTTATTTATTATGTATACCGTGTTCTGCCTGCATGTATGCCAGCAGGCCAGAAGAGGGCACCAGATCTCATTGTAGACTGTTGTGAGCCACCATGTGGTGCCTAGGAATTTAACTTGGGACCCTGGAAGTGCAGCCAGGGCTCTTAACCTCTGAGCCATCTCTCCAGCCTGAACTTGAGTTCTTAATGGTCAGTTATTGATTTATATTCATTTCAGAGAAAAGTTTCCATGTCACCCAAAGCAGTTCCCTTATTTCAGCTGTTCTTTCTTTCCTTTCTTGTTTTTTTCCCTTTTTCTTCTTTTACTTTTTCTCCTTCTTTCTCATTCATTTGTATATTCACACATTTCTAATCAGCTATAGGCAAAGTGCTTTATTTTCCTCTGCAGTGAAGCATAAGAATGAATAACTGAATATGACATGGAAGGGATAGAGAGTAAAAGGACACATGAAAGATGGAAATAAATACCACAGTGCAACAGATTATTGTTGGATTATTAGTCTGGAGGCTCAGTGGTATTTAATAAGAAGGGAGGTATCATATTATCTGTTAATCATGATACACTATTAACTCTCCCTAAGGTCATAATGACTTCTGTATTGTGTATTAAGAATATAAATTGATCTGGGCATGGGAGGTAGAGGCAGGTGGGTCAGGAGTTCAAAGTCATCCTTAGTTACATAGCAAATTTAAGGTTAGCCTGGGCACTACATGAATCTCCATTTCACTCCAGCCCCAAATAAATTTTGAAATCTATAGGACCTTGGTTTGTATAAAAGGTTTGGGTTTTACTTGGGGACATTAGGCAGATATTGTTCTCCTAGACTCGGGCTTTCTCATCTGAAAGGTAGAAAGGTAAGAAGATCTCCCTTCATTGAGGTAATGTGGAAAGAGTGTCTGCTGTATGTGTGGCATTTAGCCTATAACCTGAAGCTGTGAGCGTCGGGGTGACTGCACCTGCTGCTGTGGCCGCTGCAGCTGCCAGTGAGTATGAAGGCGGTGACAGGAGGGCCTTTGGTTGCTGCCAGTGACTGGAAGTGGAAGGCTAAAATAGTAGTCTGTCGGGTATTTAGTTTGCATTCTCTTGGAGGGAATGTTTTACTTTGAATTTTATAAGGTCAGTTTATATGCCAGGAATGTATAGTTACAGGGAAAGCCAGGGGGAAGATTCTCTTAGCCCCTTGGACCCTGAACATATCCTGTTAGCACGCAAGCATGTGCTGATTTGCGTGTGCTCTTCCAGGTAAAGATGGAGTGCTGATGAAATGCCTTTTCAATTGCAGGTCGGCGGAAGCAGAAATGGGCTGTGGATCCCAGAAACACTGCGTGGAGTAACGATGATTCCAAGTTTGGCCAGAGGATGCTTGAGAAGATGGGGTGGTCTAAAGGAAAGGTATTGCATCGGAAGTCTAAAGTATCCATGCCATGCCAAAAGGCAGCGAATCAGAAGACAGCCTTCTTAGAGTCTGGGAGAACTTTGTGCTTTAGACCAGTAATTGATTTTGGGGAACTAAATTGTGACCAGGTGGTAAAATTAGACTGGAACTGAATGCCAGGTCTTCTGGTTACTGCTGTATTAGTAGCCTTCTTAGATGTCTTTTAATTCATTACACATGGAATCATGCTTAGGTTTCAATTTTGTGTTTCCAGGAATGGTACTTAATTTTCCTTCATAGTGGATACTTGCTTTCTTAAATATCCCACTTACTCCTGACTGCAATGGAGCTTTGAATGTGAAACTGCGCATTCTGCTTCTGTCAGAGTTGGCAGATCCAGTGGGCGTGCAGTATCCTTAAACTGCCTCACCCTTAGCAGTGCTCCGCATGTTGGCTGCTTTGTTGAACTTTGCCGTGGTAGCATCACTTCCCTTTCTATCACCTCATGCATCACCTCAGCAACATCTGCATCATGGCCAACTTCTTCCTCTAGTCTTCTGAGCTGAGGAGCCACTTTGCATACTCCACGCAGGCAATCTCAGTAATTACCGTGTATTGGATTATGCCTCCTGGCTGTGATGCTTGAGGGACCATCTCAAGATTATTTTTTATTATAAACCTCTTGTCCCCTCAAGTCTTGTCCTTCCCAGGTTTTCCTGATTTTTAAAAATGGTGCTAACTACCCAAGCATCCAAACAATCCCACCTCCCATTTCCCTTCTTTCCTCCTCTCTCCATTTCTCCATATAACAACCAGAAGGGTCTTGAAACTGAACTTTAGATCATGTTGCTCCCTTGCTGAAGATGTTTCCAAGGATTAAAATCTGCATCTCCGCTCCAACTTTCAAGGTCCTGTGATGTTCAGTCTCTGTTTTCTATTCCTTTCCCATTCACCTAGCTGAAGCCTCCGTGGAGGACTTTCTCATCTACAGTCCCTGCACTTGGCATACAACCTTCGGAGTGAGAGCTAAGTGAGACCAGGAACCTGGAATGCTCCTCCACCTTCTTAATTGATGTTGTGTTGTAGCGTTAAGTCACAGAATGTCATGTGCTCCATGTGATTCCTAACGCTATGACTGTTTTATACAGTTCTTCCTGTTGTGATGACCCTAATCATAAGATTCTTTCATTGCTACTTCATAATTGTAATTTTGCTACTGTTATAAATAGCTGACCCCTGTGAAGGGCCGTTTGACCCATAGGTTGAGAACCATCGTTCTGGGTTGTCTCTTGAATAGATAGTAAAGAAAGAAAGAGGCAATTTCTCTTTGTAGCTGATAGGGTTATATTTGATTTCTTTCTTTTTAATCTCCACAGGGTTTGGGGGCTCAGGAGCAAGGAGCCACAGAACATATTAAAGTTAAAGTTAAGAACAATAACCTGGGACTCGGAGCTACAAACAACAATGAAGTGAGCAGCTTCTGTGTGTTTTCTTTGCAGAGTTGACTTGTGTCAACATAAACATTGAAATTCGTGCAAGTAGATGGAATAGCTTTTATCAAGAGTATGGTACATGCTTTGGGTGAAGAAAGATGTAAGAGCACTTGACTTAGCTTGTCCTCATCCTGTGGCATGCATCCACCGCCTTGCCTGTCCTCCTGAAGCCTTTACTTAATGGCCTAGAAAGGCTCTCCTGTTTTATGGCTGAATTTTGTAAAAAGTCTTTTCAAAAAAATACTCATTTTAGAACAGAACCAAATTTTATCTTTACTTCTACCCTAATATTAGTGTAATACAACCCTAATATTGTTTTCTTAATGCAGGTGGCTTTGAGAGTGGGAAGTGATGTAGGAAAGCTGTCTTGTCTCTGTTTGTGTTCCCCTTAGTCTCATAGCCTCTTGAACACAGACTCTGTGCTTGAAAGTCAGAGGCTGACAGACTCATCATGTTTAGTACCGACGGCTCCTTTGCATTCAGAGTCAGGCTGGGAGCTTTGTCCTAAACTCCTGTAGCTAACAGAATCCAGTGGGGAAAAAAAAAAAGAAAAGAAAAGAAACTGAGAGAATGACTTTATGTAAACTGAATTGCTTAGACTAGTTTAGTATTTCTGACTAGAACAGCTAAGATTTTTCTGAAATAACAGCTAAAATTTTAGCCACTAAAGAAAGGGTTTCTATAAGGTGTAAGTGCTGATTTGAGAAATACAAAACATGCTATACTTATGTTCTTAGGAGAAGCATTGTGTTCTATAAACCTATTTGTACACCTTAACTTTTAAGCTTTCTTAATAAGAAATGCTTATGTAAAGTTATATGGGCAAATTCTGCTCAAAAACCCTGTTGCCCACTGGTTCATATTGTTTAGAGATCATTATTAGTGAACCCTTTACAAGTGGGAACTTGTTGATTCAGAGACTTAGGGCGTCCTTCCACAGAATTCTGCCAAGTTGCTGCTGATGTAAGTAGTCAGAATTCAGCAGAATAGTCCAAGTTGTGTTGCACATAGAGGACGCCATGCTCTCGCTGCCCTTGTCTTTATCATGTCCATGGTGTGTGTCACGCCCCCACCCTGAATTTATTTATTTTCTTTTATGCATATGGGTATTTTTTTCTGTGCATATGTGTTTGTACCACATGCTTGCAGTACCCATGGATGTCAGAAGAAGGCGTGGGTTCATCTGGAACTGGAGTTAAAGACAGACATGAGCCACCATGTGGGTGCTAGAAATTGAATCTGTGTCCTCTGCAAGAGCAGTCAGCGCTCTTAACTGCCGGGTCATATCTCCAGTCCCCAATAGTCTCTCTGTGTGAGAAAATACTAATTTTATATTACTTAAGTGTAATTTTTAGCAAACAAACTGCCTGTTGATTTGTTTTGCTCCAACTTAACTGTGGATGAGCCATATACCTTTGGAATACAGGTTTGAGCTTCCAAGCAGGTTCCTCTAAATATATATTGTCGACTTTGTGTTGCTGGAGACCAAACCTGGAACTTTTATACACGCTAGGCAAGGACTCCACTACTGAGCTTTGACCTAGATTCTCCAGCTTTTATTTGGCTCTGCTTACACCTTATTCCAAGTTTATAGCTTTTATATTGATCTGCTTAAATCTTATTTCAAGTTTATACTATATCTTGAATCCAGTTAAATTTATTAAATAATATTGCTTGATGTTGGTTGTAGGTGCCACAGTAGAGAGAGAAGCTCACCAAGATGCTAAGCTTTAATTTTCCAAAAGAGCAGAGAGTTACAGCCTTCTTGGAAAAAATTGATACCCAACTAGCTCACTCCACTTACTTTATTCAAACATAGATATACAGGTTAATTGGAGCTGGGAAAGGTTCTAACTACCAAAGTTATCTTGCTCTTGCTGCTCATGAGGGCAGATGATCCACACAAAGTAAGAACTCCACATTTGCCAGGAGTGTCTTCGGACCAAGGTTGATGCAGGTGTGTGTAGCACCAAGGGTCAGTTCTCCAGAGAGACAACAATTCTTCAAGGTTTCAACAGTCTCAAAACAATTTCTCAGCCTCTGCTGACTAACCCAAACATAGCAACAACTTTGCTGAAAAAGCCAGACACAAAGGCTTTACTATAGATTTCGCTGCAAAATAATACAATTTCATATTAATGGCCAGATTTCTGTTATATCTCTGTGTCAGCAGCATAGTAAGCTTTAGGCTTGCTGCTCATACTTTTTGGTGCTTCCAGGACAACTGGATTGCTCACCAGGATGACTTCAACCAGCTTTTGGCAGCACTCAACACTTGCCACAGTCAGGAAACAGCAGGTAAGGACACTAGCGCTGCTGCTCCCCCCATCAGAATCACTTTCGCTGTAGACCTTTCTGATCCGAGAGCTGGGTGATGGAAGCGTTACCAGGACTCAGTTCTGTTTATATCCTAACGGTACTGTCACTGAATGAGCTGTCCTCATCCCAGCTATGGGCATGTTACTGGCATGTGGTGATGCAGAACTGTGACTGCACGTCCTGCAGCATGGACATCTGTGCCCCACAGCAAAGAATGCCTAGTTTTCTGGGAGGAAACAGCAGGGTCCGAACAGCCAAGGAAGGGCACATGAATGCTTCCAGATACTGGTAGTGCTGGTAGTCTAACCCTGGGAGTAGTGATGAAGGGGTTCACTTTATAATTCTTCAACTGTATAGGGTTTTTTTTTTTGTTTTGTTTTTGTTTTTTTGAGACAGGATTTCTCTATACAACAGCCCTAGCTGTCCTTGAACTAGCTCTTGTAGACCAGGCTGGCTATGAACTCATAGAGATCAGCCTGCTTCTGCCTCCTGAATGCTGGGATTAAATGTGCACCACCACCCTGGCTAACTGTATAGGTTTTTAATTATATCTGTATGCCATGCACATATTATGATAAAAGAATTGTGAACATTACTTGTCTTTCTGGCAGACTTAAAATACAGCATATATAATTAGTGCTACATAAAGACTAAAATGAAAGTTAGCTATAAAGTGGCAGATTGGTCACCAGAGAGTTCACCTTAGTGAGTATCTGGTGATCTAAGGGTCATGACTATGGCATCACTCAAGTGTGAGGTGCCTTTACCACCAGTGCCTGCATGGACCTTTGAACCTGGGATCCTTTTCTCAGCGATGCCCACACCCTTGTTCTTAACCAGAGAAAACTATTTTGCATTAGGTTTGGCGTTGTTACTCTTAGTGCTTGGTGCCTCAGAGAGTGCTTGTGATTTTCAGGCCATAGAATTCCAGAATTGATCTGCTCCAAGACCTCACAGAGATCTTGGATGGGCTGCATGGATAGAGGTTCTGTCTCCTGCAGTCTGATGGTATCATGATCATCATTTCCTATGTGAGAGGTACTGTTTTAGTAGTACCGGGACCCTGTCTCACTCAGGACAGGCCTCCTTTGTCCCTCACTGATGGCCAAAGCTGAGCAGCGTCACTGCAACAACACCCCCATCCCCTGGACCATTTAAGTGTTTAAGGCAGTGGGCTTTCCGAAGGTCCCAGAGGACTGAGAGTTTTTTTCAGGAAGGCTGTGACTGACTTCACAAATGACACTTGCCTTCTTCATCCTCCTCCAGGATTTATCTCCCTGGGCTTCCTTTTCCTTGGTGCCCACAGCTGGGAGTATTTTAAGTGATGTCAAAAGTGCAGCTGCTCACCTGTAGATAACTCCAGTCCAGACCACTAGAGGGGGCCAGTAGCTTCTTGTCTGTGGCTCCACTGCCATCCAGAACTGAAAGGCGCTTTCAGAAGATTCCTTTTGGGGAAGGCCTCTTCCCAGGACAGACCTGGAGAGCTAGCAGGTTATTTTCCTACTGTGCCATCTTTTTTGAATGTGATGTCTTCATCCACATGAATTTTCACTACAGCCACACATTGCTTGCATCCAGTGGTAGATGGCATAAAAACCTAGTATTCTTTTCTGTTGTTAAGATTCCTTGGTAACTTCAAACTGTTTGTCTTCGAGCTAAGCAGACTGTGTTGTCCTGTTGTAGAACATAAAAATCAATATGTTCTTTTAAATTTCATTTGTAAAAGTTACCTTGTTTTACACATACGGGTGTAGTAGGTGTTTATAATCCCAGCACTTGGGAGGAGGAGTAGAAGGATCGAAAGTTCAGTGTTATAATCCCAGCGCTTGGGAGGAGGAGTAGAAGGATCAGAAGTTCAGTGTTAACCTCGTGTAAGTTGCCAGCCCACATCACACCAACAGAAAAGAGAGCAGGCGCTGGGAAGATTGCTGTCCATAAAGCACCTGTTGCACAAGAGTGGAGTCCTGAGTTCAGATCCCCAGCAACCTCGCCAAAAAGACCAGTGTGTAACTGTATCCCCAGTACTGGGAGAACGGAGACTAGAGAACCTCTGGTGCTCGTTGGCCAGCCACCCTTGCCAGTCACTGAGTTCTAGATTCAGTGATAGACCCTGTCTCAAAAAATGAAGTATATCAAGATGCAGAAAGACACCTAGCATTGTCCTCTGGCCTCCACATGTGTGTGCACAGTTGCACATGCAGACATTCACGTGAATAAGTACCCATATACACACACGGTGCATGTACACACGGGAAACTGTGTACACTAAGGCATGTCCTGACAGGTCTACATTAGCATTGTGATGGCACTTTCTCATAGAAACTGCATATTGCCCTTCTGATATTTTGCCACTCATTATTTTAAATATTTTGGGAGAGAAACTGGCATGCTGAGCACAGTGGTGTAGGGTGTGCATTCCCAGTAACCCATGCTGAACACTGTGAAAGCTGAAGCACCTGTCTTCACAGTTCACAGCCGGCTCTGCTTCACATTCTGTTGAAATTCCTAGGAGCTCCTGGGGGAGAGCATGGCTACCTGTTATGTGGTTCAGTGGTCATGTTGGGATTAACCCACCACTCTTTACTGCAGATATTCCAGTATCAGACTGTGTCAGTGTGAGCTCAGCCATATTGAAAGGCTTTGGGGTGACCTTGGTGGTGTACTGCTATGGATAAGTGCTGTGAATAGTCATATGTTAATTTTGGTATGAAGACATATTTTCATTTCTCTTCTTTAAGGGTTTTATAGACTACAGAGAGCCTTGCCTGATCTATACTTTAAAAATCAATCCCAATCCTTTGATAACGGTTTGGTAATAAATGATGGCACGCCCATAAAATTGTATGTAAGAACTCGTCAGCCTTTCATGCAGAGAGCGAGTTACATGGTGGTTAATGTTTTTCTTCTTTTTACAGATTCCTCAGACAATAAGGAAAAGAAATCTTTTAGCCTTGAAGAAAAATCTAAAACCTCCAAAAACCGGGTTCATTATATGAAATTCACGAAAGGTAAGAGCAGGCATTCACCTGGTGAAGTGTGTGTGTTGGCACTGGGTTTCCTGGGGCATTGTGACTCCTGCCCAGTGCTGCAGCACGGGCTGCTTGTTTGAAGTCCTGAATGGGGCAGTCTGGTCTGCCTGGTGGGTTGATCTGCGGCAGCCCTGGGTGGCAGAGGCTCAGTGCCCATGCTGACTTGTTAGACATCTTACTAAAGTGCAAATTGGGGTGCGGTGGTACCAAGAGGAGCCCAGGGGAGGCTTCAGACTGGGCAGGTCCTGTGTGGGCTGTGATGAAAGTCTGTCTGTTTAGAGAAAATGGGAATTCTGTGTAGCTAAATCAAAGATAATTTAAATTTTCTGTTCTTTAATTTTACAGCTTGTATACTTTCTTTCAGTTCTTAGTGGTTGTGGTGGATAGTCCCTGTTTTGACAGTTTGGCTCATTAATTATATCAAAATCTTCACTGTAGTGACTCATAGTCCTAAGGTGATCCTTGGAATCATCTACGCAAGTTCTCCATCTCATGGAGTATCTCTATAGGCATCCCATGGCTGTGGCCAGAGTGGTGTTGAGGAATGGGGCAGTTGGAAGTTGGGCAGTAAGCCCTGCCTTGCTCATCACACCTTCCCCATGGAGCTCATTGTGAGTACAACTATTCTCTGTAGCCATTAGGTGGCAGTCGTGTACCACTAAGCCTTTACCTTACTATAAACAAATCCCAGATTTTCTGCATATGGTCACAAGCTATCTATTATATGTAGTACGTTATGGATGTTAGGTGTGATGGTTACTGTTCTGTGACATCCCGTCACTATTTGATTGTTCTTTGGCATATTGGATGTCTCTTTCTGCCTCTGTGCCAGGAAAGGCATATCTCTTCATCTTGGTCTTGGCATTTGGGGGATTGCTTAACTCCCATAACCTGCCTGAGTAGCAGTGGGAGAGAGTCTGACTGGACATTGTTGACAGTAGCTGTCCTTTAGGGCCAGGACCCCAACAAGTAGAACTGTGCTTGGAAGACGTGAAAGGTACGGCAGAGCCTGGGGTTCAGGAGCAGAGTGCTAAGCTCTGTGGGAGAACTGGAGTCTCCTTTCTTCTCCACTTGTGGTTTTAATTAAACTCCTTTGTGCTATCCCTTTCTTTTTGACAGGCAAATGCTCTTGTTGGAAGCCTCTGAGGCATCTAACCAGGGCTTATCTCTACCATACCATAACCTGCTGTAGGACAGAAAACTGCTTTACTCTCCCCGTAGTCCTTTGGAGGTGAGGAATGGTAGCCCCTTAAACAGCTTTTCTTTTTTCGTTAGATGCTACAGGAAGACTAGAGACATTGCAGAAGGCTGTTGCAGATTTGGACGGCATACAGCCTTTTCTTTTCCCTCCAAATTAATGTAGTCTTCTGATTGTCCTTTAGTCCCTGACTGCATGCCTGCCTTCATCCGAAGCATTTGCTGGAGTTAGGAGAAACCTCTCTAAGGTGCTCTACTCTGGCTGTGTCTACTTGTTTTCTATTTCTAGTTCAGCCACTCCCTTGCTGGTGACCCTGTCACCTCTTGATGCATTATGCCTTCATTTCTCTCTCACAGGAAGGTTTGTACATTTAACAGCCTTGCTCGTGAAGAAAGGAGGCCTTGGTGTGCAGAGAAGACAGCTGGAGGTGTATTGTGCTAGAAGGAGAGGAGGTGTCAGGAAACAGAGGACCCAAAGACTGGGAATAAGAAAGAAAGAGGAAAAGGAGTGAAAATCCAGGCAGGACAGGAAATAGCAGATCCCACCATCTGCACTGTCCAGTGGAAGGTGGTGTTCTTTCATTTCTTAAAAGCTGTTTCTTTTCACTTGGTCTTGTCTCTGGGTGTGAATGATAACCATGAACTGTCTTAAAGGAGCCTGTCTGGGTCAGAGGAAGCTGGCTTCTGGCTGCTGCTCTCCCAGACACATCCCCAACTATTTCCCTTCCTTCAAATTCTGTTTCCTTTTCTGTAACATGAGGAGATATTTGCAAGCTGCCATGAAATCCAGCTAGACTCTGGTCTGTGGTTTGTGAGACATGACCTTCCATATGGAACTCACGCTTTTCCAACCTTGTGGAAAGAGGACCTTAATGTTAACAATGAAAGTTTCTAGTTCCCTTTGTTAGTAAGAGTGAGTCACGTGGTAAGCCCCTGTGTGTTCCAGAAAACTAAAATGTAGCAAGGTGGCACTCTGTATAGCCTGCACATGACCTTCATAGAGCAAGGGCTGGCCATTGTGGTGTATGCCCTTAGTCCCAGCACTGGGGAGGCAGAGGCATCCAAGGCCAGCCTAGTGGTCTATACAGCGAGTTTCAGGATAGCCAGGGCAACATAGTGAGACCCTGTCTCAAAGAAACTGCAAAATACCTGGCCAGAGCAAATGGTACTATAGTATCTGCTACTGCCTAAATTCTGCCTATATCATTTTAGTCCTGATGCATAGTTACTTCTTTGTATAGCTTCTACTTGATGGCTTTTGTTTGAAATAATTAATTATGTAATTTTAAGTTACTATCAACCAGATTTGTTTAAAATCTAGCTCCTCCCACAGTAAGACTATGGTTGTAAGGGGCATTGCTTTTTTATTTAATTTAGTCTTACTGACTGAGTTATGTAAATAAAATTTGAAATAATTGAAGCTACCCAGATAAATCTGTTTTGTTTTTATTTATTTTACATTCCTACCACAGTTCCCCTGCCACCCCTCTTCCTGCCCCCCCCCCGCCTCATCCTTAGCCCACTCCCCATCCACCCCTCCCAAAGGGTAAGGCCTCCCATGAGGAGTCAACAAAACCTGTAACAGTAGGTTGAGGCAGGACCAAGCCCTTCCAGCATTAAGACTAAGGGAGGCATCCCACCATAGGGAATGGGCTCCAAAGAGCTAGCTTGTGCACCAGGGATAGATCTTGTTCCCACTGCCAGGGGCACCTCAAATAGACTAAGCTACACAACTGTTTCCCACATGCAGAGGGCCTAGTTTGGTCCCATGCAGGCTCGGATTCCCAGAGCTTGGCCTGGGGCTTGGCTGTGGATCTCTGAATCTGGTTCCATCAGTTTCTAGATGAAGGCTCTATGATGGCAGTTAGGGTGATCACCTATCTGATTACAGGGGAAGGCCATTCAAGCACCTTCTCCACTATTGCTAGGGGTCTTAGCTGGGGTCATCCTTGGGAGTGCTGGTAATTTTCCCAGCACCAGGTTTCTCCCTAACCCCATATGACTCCCTCTATCAAGATATCTCTTTCATTGCTCTCCCACTCTGTCCCTCCTCCAACTCGACCATCCTGTTCCCTCATGTTCTCATCCCCCATCCCCTCCCCTCTGCTACCTCCCTTCACCCCCAGTTTACCCAGGAGATCTCATTTTTTTAAATTTGCAAATATATTTACAAAGACAGCATTTCTTTGGGCTTGGGCCGCAGCTATAGTTCATTAATTTTATATCTGTGTGTTATAGTCTATTTGCTTCCCAGATGCCAGACTGGAGAATGGAGTTGGCCTTTGTCAACTCTGGGAGTTACACTTCTTCTGGAAAACCTGATGGGAAACCTATGACTCCTCTGTGAAACCCTATACCCTGCCCTGCATGGATTTCCTTATGTCTGTTTGACTCCTGGAAACCTTTTTTCCTGGTTCTCGAGATGCAGTTATGGCTGAGCTAAAACAGTCACAGCTAGACAGATAACATGTTTTCTGCCTTGTTCAATTTTTCTGCTTGTCATCTTGTCAAAGATCTATTTGTCCACAGTTTTCGTTCTGATTTTACCATAGTTCTGAAGTTACTATCCTTTTAAAGTTAATTTTTACTATGTTTATTTTATTCATAATTTCATAATGTATGTAAGTGATTCAACCAGGACCATTGTTGACTCTTAATTTCAGGATCCCACTGTCTTCCCATTTAGCCCAGTTACAGGTTTCTTCTTTAATGGACTCTGACTCTCATTTCTCCTCTGTTTTCCAGATTAAATCCAGAGCAAGTCCTGCACAGCCCTGGTTTCTAAGTTTACTTCAGTGAACTTTGTTAGAGGATAGAGATTTCTGGTCCAAGAGCCCACCCAGAACTCTAGAAACCCTAGCACCTCCATTGAACACTTCTACTGGCTTGGCAGCTTCCCTTTGAATCTGAGATTTGATTTGAATCTCGGTGTGTTTGTTTTTTCACATACTAGTTGTGAACTGTGGCCCTGTGTTCTCTCCTTTGACCTTTTACATTTAATGAAATTGTTATAAAAAGGAGGCATGAATTTATGTTGCTTTTAGGATGCCACCTCTTTTTAGGGGCTGGGTTGAGGGGAATCGGTCAGTGGTTTGGAGGTTCTTGCTTGCTTTGGAATTGGGGTTTCTTTCATTGTATGGCACACTGACTTAGAATGTTTGACCCTCTTGCCTCTGCTTCCTGCGTCCTTGGATGACAATGTGCACCACCATCATGCTTGGTTTCTTGGTTTCTAAATCAAGTTAAATTGACTCACTTTTCTGGGCTACACTTTCACCGTAAATGTGCTTTGCAAGTACAAAATGGATTGCGCTGGTGACAGCTGAGGATAGGTGTCTGCCTCCCAAGAAGCCGCCCACTTCTCACTGCTGCAGCTGCAAGTTGGCTGTGCTCCCTCTCTGGTTTATTGCCTGTGCCACAGTTTGTGATAAGCATCACTCTGTTCTTAGGTGGCTTCTCCTTGGCCTTTTTGAATGGGGTTCTGATGGGAGGAGAGCAACATTGGGAACCTTCCCATGCCTCAGGAACAGGTCGTGCCAACTGCACCATCTATTCTGGTACCACTGCCTCTGAAACTGGTTCTGGCACCTGGTTTTGCATCAAATTGAAGGGTGTTTTGTTTTTTCAATTTCATGGAGTCACTGAGCAGTGTTGTATTTGAATGCCCCAGTGCTAATCGGTGAACCAGAACCTTCTAGGTCATGACATTACTTTGTCAAGTCAGTTTGCTGCAAAAAAACCAAGAGCAAGGAACTGGTGACTGGAACTTGGCTTCCAGCTAGAAACCCAGATTCCTGTATGTGACCTGACCTCTCTTTCCAAGCTTAGCAGGCTTCACACGGAGGGTTGAGTTTTCAGATGCACTTTCCTTGAAGTTGATGGATGGGAATGGATTTGGCTGACTGTTCATAGGCTCCTGTTTAAAATTCCAAAGGGAATTTTAAATTAGTGGTTTGTGGGTTTGGAGTTGAGCTAGTTTCGTTTTTAAAACAGGAATCATAGATTCTTTGGATCCTGCTCTTACCAGAGCCATTTATTTCCTGTTGTCATCGTGTAGCTTTCTGTTTAACTGGTAGAGCTATTACAAGTAAGAACATTTTAAAAGAAAAATTGAGCTTTGATTTGCTTTATTCTTTTAAATTTTTCTTAGTTATTATTGAGCTCCTGTGACAAAAAGCAGTAAATGTGAGTGTTTAAAGGGTTTGAGGTATGAGCCTGTCAGAATGTTCAGTTCCGTGTTTTGTAACCATCAGTAAATTGCCGTTTCTCTTTGAAGGAAATGGGATTGTTTTGCATAGAACGAACCCAGCACCCATAAGGCCCAACTTAATGGCACAGCAAGCAGGAGGGTCACTTCTGAGTGGAGCTTTCTGTGCTGTCCATGTGCCAGGTTGTTTGCAGTCAGGAGGGGACTGGGCAGTTGTGGTCTTACGACGGTTACTGAAGTTTTGATCGTAGTCTGTGTTGTGCTCAGCATTGGAATGTGAGGGGGCCAGAGTTGGCAGCTGACCCTCTGCTACCAGCTGCTTTCTTCCAGGAGTGACATATTTCTACTTGTGCTTCTCATTTCGAAATGAATGGTCTTACAAGAAAGCTCTGTTGTTTCTAGGGAAGGATCTGTCCTCTCGGAGCGAAACAGACCTGGACTGCATTTTTGGGAAAAGGAAGAACAAGAAAACTGCTCAGGTACCCAGCCATGGGTTGTAGTGCTGTTTGCATGTTCTCAGTCTGTCTCTCCCCAGTGTCATAGACAATTACATGCCCCCACTCCCACCCTTAGCCCCAGATCCTGGGGTGGGATGAGCAGTGGGTACACCTTCCTTTGTACATTATGGCTTGTTTCAAACCTGGGGAGTACAAATGAACCTATAATTCATAACCCTAATCATTCCATTGACCTATGTATTGCACAAAACATTTGCACTATTTCCAAATGTAAGTGACAGCCCTGTATGCCATTCTGATGTGTAAACACTAGAAATTTTAGCTGAATTTCTGGAGATAATGAAAATTTGTTTTATCTAGCAAAATCTGGGCTATATAGTTAACTCAGTGAGTCTGGCGCGCCATGCTTATGTTCCTTTATTGGTTCCTGGGCAAGGTCTGTGGTGACCCTAGAACAGAAAGACAGCCTTTATTTATCTCTAGCATTTTTCCAGACCGGCGGGTGTCTTTTTTCCCTGGGTAGCAGTTATTTGTTACTCGGTATTATGTTTAGAAACTTGAGAATTACCTATGATGAGAGAGACTTTGTTAGGCAATTCCTAGGTTTCCCAGTCCCTCTCTGCCTAGCTCTTAGAGCAGGGTGAGCATGGAGGAAGCTGTTTTCTAGGACTCCCCGTGGCTGCTGAGTTATGTGGAAGGTGGCTGTCCTTGGTAGTGATGTGTTCTGACAGTGGAAGAAAAAAGTTAATTTTTTTTAGATCAGAGGAAATGACACAATAGATGAAGTAGCATCAGGATCCCCAGAGCCCACATAAAAAGCCAGGTGGGTATGGTAACCCACCTGTAATTACAGCTAGTGGGAAACATCGGGGTGGGGAAGGTGAACATGCCACAGGGAATCTCTGGGCTGTGCTGGATGGTCAGGCTGCCTGAGATAGCAAACTGAATGAGAGACTCTGCCTCAGAATATAAGGTGGAGAGCAATAGAGGAAGACACCCAAAGTCAGCCTTAGATTTCCATCCCTCTATATACATATGGGTGCACAGACAAACAGACAGGCAGACATGCATACGCACACCACACACACACTGTTCATATGAGAAAGAATTTCTTTTAGTCTCTACCTGACCCAGGTGAGGACTGCAGTGTGATAAGGAATGTGGCTTAAGAACACCAGGGCAGCCCTGAAAACACAGCTGCACCAAGAGAGCAGCTCACTGTCACCATGTGGCTGGGCGTCACAGACCTCCAGGTGCCACACAGCCACTAGTGGAGCTTACTGGTCTGTAGATTCTGAAATCTGCCGTCTCGTCCATGTCCACGCCAAGGAGATAGACCCATGTGTGCAGCCGCATGCGTGCAGAAAACAGTCTATCTAACTGTGCTTAGGACAGCAAGCCAAAGTTTCCCTATGCAGAGTCCTTTTGTCTTGGATATTGTTGGGTTTGCCTTTGAGTTCTGGGTGGTACAGCTGCACCGTCCTCAAAAAGTGTTGCTAAGAAACCTTACCATGTTACTTACAACAGTCTACACAGCCAAGGGCAAAAGGCCTTTGATCAGATTGGTTTGAAAATACTTCTTTTGGCTCCTCTTCTCACTTGGATTATTGTGTTTTCCTCCCTTGACCCTCATAGCAACACTGGCTTGAATTTATGTTTTGCCAAACATTGTACCTAATGATTTCATTGTATCTAATGAAGAAATCTATCTACTGTATTGTACATGTGGACTTTTTCATCTGTCAGATACTTGTAGGCAGGACAGTGAACAACTTAAAAAACAAAAGACTTGTTTTGTATCCAGTTCTGGGTTCCCAGCAGGTGCTCCAATCAGTATGGCATATGGTAGGGGATAGAAATTTTATTGTACTTCCTCTTAAAAATCGGGCTTTAGTTGTTAAATCAATTTTAAATGATGCCTTGCATAAATTTGGGGCTGGTATTAGAAATATATTTTCCTTTAGGAGGTATTCATCAGCCTGCCTTATACCATCTACTCATGTCCAAAGCAGATTCCTGAAAGGGGATTAGTGAATGAACATTTGCTTGTGCTACTTTATGTTTTAAAAGATCAGTACAATTTGTCAAAGATCAGCTTTAAGGCAATTGTGTCCAGGCTGTCCCTGTTTCTCGTTGCCTTGGAAGTTAAAGCATCTGTTACTATCAGGCCTCTCTTCTAACTTTTCTGCTGGCTCTGCCGTTGCTCAGCATTTCTTCCAGCTGCAGAGGCTGTTGGGAGGAGCACAGTTCCTGGCTGTGTCTGGCTATTCAGAGGAACTTGCTTAGTGAGTGAAGGAACATCACACACTGCCAGTTACTCAAGAGAAATGGTAGTAAAATACATTATGCTGGGATGCACTGGATGCATGGCTACACCGGTCTGGTTTTCAAGTTCTTCCTTTCCTCAGCTTAGTGCTGTATTAGTTGGAAAACAGTGAAGGTGAAACAGAGTGCTCCCTAAATTGGATCTACCTGCTTCCTCCATGGAAACAAAGAAATGGCCCGATATACTGAATTGAAATTACTTGGGCTTTAGGAGAAGCTTGTTACCAATAGGAATTATGTGTATATTCTCAATATGGGTAGGGGGTGTTGGAGGGTATTTTTCTCCACGTGTGTGTGTGTGTGTGTGTGTGTGTGTGTGTGTGTGTCCATCCCACAGTTTGCAGATTGAAGTGGAGACACTAAAAAACAAATTCCATTAGTTCCTATCTGGTTGAACTTCCTGATACTCCCTAGTTTGTTCCCCCTCTCATTTTTTTCCCTCCCCCACCTTCCCAGTTTCCTTCCTCCATCCAGCTTACTTCCTGATTCAGCCTTATCACTAGAGAAAATACTCCGAACCCATATCAAGGGTTGGAAATGTGTTGCTAACAGTCTCACTTTGTTTCTTTAAACAACAGGCCTCTGGCATGGGTTCTTGGCAAGTAATTATCCATGTCTTCACCATATGACCTGACTGAATTAGAACCCCACCTTTCTTGTGTACAACACTCACAATACCTAGTTAATGATGACTTTCTTTGCACAACTTCTATCAGGTCTGTTCACTTATTTCATGTTGCACATGCACTTTGCTGAGTCTTGCTGATCATTAGATCTGAAAACTGCTTCCAAGCAGACCCCTGTTCTGTTGTTTGATTGGATTCATGAGGCATTTTAGACCATTCTTTTTCTTTTTGGGTTGGATGCAGTACCTTAAATCTCTTATGTGAAAAATGATTACAAAAATAAAAATTCTTCAGAATGTTAAAATAGTTCTTACTTGAAATGTCTTTGGATTGGAGGCTTGTTTGTCTATTCGTTCTGGATTGCATGCTAATAATCTGTAGTAGTGAGCTAAGTTGATTTTGGTAAGTAATTTAAAGGATGTGACTGTCCCTTTCTGTAGCATCCTGTGCCCACTTTGGTCATGCCCACCATGTCCTCACTGCAGAGATGGGTACCAGAGAGGTAGATACTCCTGATCTGCTAAGAACCTTTCAGTTAGAACAAATCTGGCCTAAGTCATAAACATGCAATATAATACACGAGTTCTACAATTGACTCATCTCCTCAGTAATGATTTCCATAATGTTTGTAACCATTTGGCCTCTGATAACAGTATCCAGATTCAGATAATCTAAGTCTCATTAGAGGGTAGGCCATACAACCTGACCCCACATTAGCCGCAGCTGAGACGTGTAGCGTGGCATCTGCCGAATGTGGCCAGGTGCTTCTGTGGGAGGGTTGTGCCTTCTGCTTGTTTGTTGCCTACAGACTGGTTTGTTACCTTCAGGCCTGGGTGCCATGATTTAGAGGAGTGGTCAGAGACATAGTCGTGAAAAAGGTTTCTGGGATGTGTGTTGTGCACTGGAACAAGTAGCAGAAGTGGTTGTGGTTCACAAGTGAGCACAGAAGCGAGTTTGTGCGGGTGATTAGGAGTCTGGAGATGATGGGGAATCTGTGGGGACAGTTGCTCAGGGATTGAAGCAACCCAGAGTGACCACTGGCTAGCAGCTAAGAATATAGCGTGGTCTGTTTCCAGCAGGAATATTGTACAGGTGAGAGTGACCAAAAGGCCTGTGAGCCCTCAGCCCCTAAGCTTTGATTTTGAAGGACAAGCACGTGGAATCACCTGTGTGACTTAGTGCTGATATCCAAGGTGTTTTGTGTATTCCTGAGCTGCCAGCAACCATTGCTTGATTTTTCTTGTTTCTTATAGTGGACAGCTGGGCTTTGTCCACTTCTTTCTCTAAAGGGTGGATGTTAAAGATCTTGAAATGAATGTTCAAGACAGTGAGGTCGAGGATAAGGTAGTTATCTCGGATATTCCTATTTTATCTATAAGCTCAGTTTTCTTACCTCTGAACTAAGAGTGCTTGCTGCCAAGAGTGACTGTGTGGATGGGATGAGGCTTTGGAGGCTGTGTGAGCTTGCCTGGAGCCGTGAGGTCAGTAGTCATCCCCCGTGAACTGCTGCACCGAGAAACCTAACACCCACATGGAGACCCTGATCTCACTAATGGCAGGAAAGGCTACAAAGAACTAGGCAGGTTTTGAGGGCTTCGGTGCTTCTGGCATAGAAAAGACCTCTAACTCCAGTGCCAGAGGGGTCCTTGCTTGCCAGTGTGACTGAGTAATCTTTGAATCAAGGGAATGAAGGAAACGGTGAAGATTCATCAAACTGCATCTCCCATGCTGAGATGACAGCAGTAATATTCTCTGTACAGGCAGAGCACTTTTGTGTCTACTCTGATAGACAGCTAGTTGGGCCTTTGGCTGGTAGTGTTTTTCCAGTTTGTGTGTGGACTCACATAGCCTGCTGCTTCCTCCATCTCTCAGTGTGCTAAGCATGTCTTCTTCTGGCTGTGAACAGCTAAGTCCCCTCTCCTTTGCATTTGAACTTCTGCTTCCTTGTGCGTTAGTGCCTGTCAGAAGCCTCAGGATGGAGAAGCCCCTTAGATCCTGTGGTGTGGCTCGGGGTGGTATGGCAGGAGTAGGATGGGGGTGGGGGAATGGCCAAGGGGGTCTTGCTAGCTC